GTCGTGCTCAGCAGGCACGCCCCGATCACCGTCCGGTTGGTCAGCAGGTGGTACGGGATGAACGGCTTGGGCGCCCCCCAGCGCTCGTACACCACAAACAGCAGCAGCACGCAGAAGCCCACGACCATCATGGCGATGATCTTGGGGGACTTCCATTCGTCCTCCGTGTTGCCGGCGATGTTGAACGAGGTCAGGAAGAGGATCAGGCCGCCGATCATGAGGATGATGCCGCCAACTAGAAGGGAAACCTCGGTGTTAGATGCATCATGGGACCATGTGACTTAGGTGGTGGAAGGGGTTAGGATACACACCATCGAACTCCACAATGTAGAACCAGATGCTTTGCCACCAGGTGCGCGTGCTGCGGGGCTTGTATTGCAACCGACCCTCCTTGTCAGCCTTGCGCTTGGCCATCTCCCAGGTCAAGATCAACGGCAGGGCAACGACGGGCAACAGAATGCAGACGGTTCCATACGCCCAGCGCCAGTTGGTCTCGTGGAATTGGTTCGAGAGAGGTGCGCCGGCGAATGCGGTGATGATGTACGGCGAGGAGGTGAAGCCGAAAGCGATGCCACGGTTGCGCAGGGATGAGGTGTCGGAGGTGAGGACGTCCACGCAGAAAATCACACCGGTGAAGCCGACCGTGTAGAAGGCCTAGGAGAGGCAGTGTCAGTTTGTCGATGCGTTTACACGATAAGAAGAGTTTTCGACCCGGGGTCACCCACCTGCGCAGCACAGTAGGTTGCAATATTGTTGCAGCCCGCCATCATGATCAACCCCATCATCGCGATGAGAACCATGATACCCAGACCGACCGTTCGATCCCACAGGTTCAGCACCTTGGCGATCGGCAGCAAGCACGCAGCACCCATGACACTGGTGACGATGCTGATGACCGTCAACAGTGAATGAGCCGAGAAGTCACTGGTGATGTAGGCTGAGAGGTTGGCGGTAAGATTGTTGTTCAGCCCACTGACAAAGTAGAGCATCCACATGCTATGGACCTTTAGTTAGTCTGTCCCAGGCCCCAAGTCTCTCCAGACACGCAGGCTAACATGCACTCACCATCCATAGGAGAAGTAGAGAGCCTTCTTGGACCAGACGGCGGTGACCGCCTCCGCAACGCGAACACCATCCTGTTGATCCTGGTTCTGGAGTGACGGATCCGGGGAGGCCTCGCGCTCGATGGGAAGAGGATCCTCATCGACTTGAGGGGCATGGCTCTTGTTGTCCAGGGCCATGGTGATTGAGCAATCGAACCGTGTCCGACAGGCAGAGGAGGCGGTGGGAAAGAAAGCGAAGAAAGAAAAAACTTCTGTCGATCTGCCAATCAATCCTTTGGGCTGCGGGCGTGAGACATTTTTAAGAAGCCCTTGCACGGCCAAGCCTTGTCTGTGTCACGCCTGCGTATTCTCAATCAACCGGGTCAGCGATTCCCCTCCCAATGTCTTGGTTTGCCCTTGGCGACACCTCCAAGTGGCGGGCCTGGTCCGAGGTGGAACCCAGGATGCTGCATCTGATAAGATACCATCGCCACGCTAGGGTTGGGTGGTTCGGTGACATTTCGTGCGACTTCGCTAGAAGGTTTGGGGGGGTAATTCCTCGTTGGTTGCTCGTGCAGTGAAGAAAACTCTATTACCTGTTCAATTCATCACAACATCTTCTTCCTCTGGTGTTCAGATACCTCTCTGCCCGTAGCAGAAGAATGCAACCTATGCAGCAAATCCACGAAAGTCTACAACAACAGCGTGTTCATGTACTGTCTATCATCAAACTCCACCGACCCAAAGCCTGGTTCGGTGCCTCCTCCACCAAGAGCTGAGACGAGCACCGCTCCTCTCCCCTCGCCCGCCAAGAACAGCCAAGGATCTAATCAATCCGCAAGCGGGTATCCTCCGGAGCACATCGGACCACTCTCGAGTGGCTGCACTCGGTGGGTGAGCCAAGAAACGAAGACTCGTAACCGAGGTCGTGGCCGGACACTTGGCCCTCGTAGCAAAAGCGAGGAGCCAAGCCCACGACTTCTTGGAGGAAGTCCTTGGCAACCATGCCACGCGGATTTCATCGATGCAGAAAATCTGATAAAAGAACAGGTTCTTTCTGGTCAGTAGTGAGGTCTATCCAGGAGGTAGAACATCATCAACCGATAATTCGACTAGAATCAAGCTTATAGAAACGTGGTGGCCTAAATTTCCAGAGCGGAAACTCTCGTGGTCCGCGGGCCCCGTGCGCGGGGCTCCCCATATGTTGGACCCTTTTTTCCCCCGTTGTTTAGTGCCGTGTGCCCTGATTCCGAATAATTGCCGCAGAAAGCGCCGCCTCTGTGGCGATGATGATGTTGGCTTTCCTGTAGGAGATTCCCTCATCACTTCTTGCTTCATTATAGCCCACGCTGCTTGGATGATAGGATGATCTATCAAGAGGTAGTTGCGTTGACATTCAGTACCATCAAGGCTGAGCTGTTGTTGCTCGAATGTTGATTTTTCACCTTCCCGCTAGCCTTGCCACCATTCGATAAATTCATGCCCCTGTTGCTGCATGTCAGATTGGTTTTACCTAAGTCGAGATTGCCGAGATTCGAGATGTCTCACATCGAATTTCTAGGCTGCCATCCATCTTGTTCAGGGACCATGGAAGAACGGTGGGCCTGCATCTGCTGAGAAGCAGACACCTTGGCCATGCAGGTTAACACAATCAGATCCTTTTTCTGGCAGCTTGGTCTTCTTGGTTCTCGGGCGGGAAGCGGGTTGATAAGATTGATAACAGGCGTTGCCATCATCGGTGTTGGAAGAATCTGATGTCTGTATGTAAGGGTCCGTGTGTTGAGTACGTGTATCCGTATGTTTTGTTCCCCAAAATACACCATACCCCGCTGGATGCGAAGAATACCCCCTGTCTCAATCCGTTTTAGGTTTCTAAAAACCACATCATACATACTATCACGTCTGGTAGAGAAAACAACGCAAGTCAACTGGTTTTGCTCGGCCCCTGATTTCTTCCATTTGCAGTCACAATAGCATACCTCTGCTTCCATGGGAATTCCAGTACATTGTTTCGTACCTGCAAAAAGTTGACGTAGGAGGATAAATGGTGAATCGGCCCCGGGCAATTCTGATCGACAAACAGCTACAACGGTGGGAAGATTACTATGGAACAAGCTAGTTACAGTATTTACTTAGTAGATTCTCGTTAAGAATATATTGTGTTGCTAGTCGCATCTAGAGTATGGGTATCTACGTGATCGAAATTCCGTCACTAGAAAACTGGAGCATCGTCAAGCACATACGACCACAGGGTGTGGAAAACAGGGCTTCCCGTCCGCTCAGCCGTACTTAAGCCACACGCCGGGAGGTTAGTAGTTGGGTGGGTGACCACCAGCGAATCCCTTCTGTTGTATGTCTCTTTTTCCTCACCTTTTTGTTACCTTTTTACAGCCTGTCGGGACTGGTCGGTCTTAGCGCCCACGCCGCCCTGCCTGAAGCCCTCTACAATTCGCCTGCCCAGCCTGAACTGCTGACGTAGCCTTTTCCCTTGGACTTTCCGTGCGCCTTGGCAACTAGCCACCTACACGCGCCACATCTATTGGCTTTGTGTTAATTTCCGGCTCTCTGCCTGTCATCCGACCGCGCCATAGTCCAGATCAGGTATCCTCGCTCCATGCAATGGAAAAGAACTCTGTTGCGCAAGACAGACATACACTCCCGGAAAGAGAAATTACGAAGAGATCTGGACCCGCCGGCAGAAGGCATTATCTTTGCATAACCAGAGTCTTGCAACGGATCTCTGGCGGCAGCTTCTGACATAGGTTTTAATAAATACATTGGCTTTTCGTTTATTCTTTCTACACAGGGCACTTCCCTGTAGCGCCCAACGTCTCGGACTTTGCTTGGATTATACTACCTAGTTCTAGCTCTCAGGCTGTTAGCTCCGGCACTTGCCTGGGGGCAGGGGGGAGCCTGATCTTGTCTAGCTTATCTACTAGTCCATAGGAGGCTTAGAGGCTCGAGGATGTGCCTCCTAGAAAGAAGGGGATAGTTGTCATAGGTAAAGCTATATAGGGTGCGATCCGGGCAGATCGAAGTCAATTCTGCGACACGAAACTGGCAACAAGCAAACGGTCAATTTAAACTATAATACTTTGTTTAACTTGGAACTATCATGGTTCATCAAATGATTCTCTTAGGCTAGTGGCCTGACAGTTGGGCCTTGAATAATATCTCGATGATGCAGTAGGTAGGCCGTTTTCGTTAGTGGCCCTACCATGGATAAGCTCAAACATGATTTCGCCACATTTAGTGCCATGGTTTATTGCGCCTCTAGTGCAGTCAGGTCTGAACAGGGGGAACGTTGTACGTGGTGACCAGACACATCTGCCTTCGTTTTATCGTCATCATCCACAGGCAGCGAAGCCACCTGATAGTAGGGTTGAGCGCGGCTTATTATTACTTTCGAGGACGGGCCATCACTTGTTCTGTCCGAAGAATTCAAAACCTTAGGTATGGCATGTTGAGTGAGTATTATCTTTGTCATTCAGCGAACGCGAAGTCGGCGCCGAATAGAATAATCGACTAAGTACAACCAGTTTTTGCATCATCGAATTAACTCTTTGTGTAACTCTTTGTGGCAAAAGGTTTTACGAGAATAAAGTGTAGAATGTGGGGAAACGGCAAATACGCTTACTGGCAACCCATCATAAACCTTAGTCGTATGACTAGACGCAAGTGGAATATCAGCGGAATATTAGAGGTTGTTCCCATGGAAGGGTTGAAGTGAGCGCATTGATACATGATCGCGATCCTTTGGTCTTCAAATCTTGAACAGCGGAATGCACTTGTAGGCTGTTTAGCTGGAGGTGGGCGATGAATCTAGATTTCAAAAGAGATCCCCAAGGCTCGTGTTGGTATGTAAATGATGAAAAGGCCTAGAGCACCTGCTGATGGTCAGATGATAAACACATTGTATTCGAGAACTGCCCATAAAAGACAGCCACTTCTTCCCTTGTCAAGCTTTAATCCTTGGCAACTTTAGGAGCTCTGAGGCCCTAGATTTCAGATCATTAATATCGTTTCCGGGACTCTATCATGGCCTCTGTCAACTCAGCCGATCCGACACCACCGACTGCTCTGGCGAATTCCAATCCTGAATATGAGGCCAACGTGGCCGACATTGAAGATGCGCTCAAGAACAGGAGATTAACTCTCGTATTTGGGACAGGGATTTCTATCAACGCCATTAAAGACAGTACTGCTGGCGTGAGTGATGATGAGAAATCCAGAAAGGCGGATACTTTGAGGTGGAATGCCTTAATTTTAAGTGGACTTCAATTCATCGAAAACAATCCTGATTACAAAGCAAGTCTTACAAGAAGTGAGATACAAGAGCTGGATTGTTACAAATCATGCCTATCAACGGAGGGGGTTGCTCTCGGCACAATGTTACGTGCAGCCATATTTTTGAGAGCGAAACTAAAGGAACTCGGACGACTACAGGCATGGTTCAAGCTTGAGTTCAGCGGACTTTATGACAAATTCATTGGAGACAATCCAAACCCTATGCTCGAGAGCATAAAGGAACTCAACAGGAATCATGCAAGGATCATGACAACCAACTATGACGATTTGATCAGTCGACGTTGCGATAAACATGCAATCATTCCTGACGAGGAACAAAAGTTGAAGGACTTTTTTTCGGCCAATTCGGAATCGAGACGGCGAATCTTGCATATCCACGGAATTTGGAATGACCCCAAAAGCATTGTGCTGGATGGTGTTAACTACTACAAAATCACAACACACCCTTACCTTCAGCATGCCCTTCAAACATGCATGGGCGGCACCGAAGTCCTAGTTTTTGTAGGAACTGGCGGAGGACTCGATGACCCAAATTTTTCTGGTCTTCTGCGCTGGGCAAATGAGGTAGTTGGAGAGGAAAGAAGGCCGCAGTATATTCTACTTCCAGATGGCCAAAATAACAAACACAAATCACTCCACGCCATCCACTATGGTGATCATTCCAGGCTGCCAGAATTCTTGAAGGGGATAGTTCGCAGAGTAACAGGGTAAGATTGCTATTTTTAGGTTTTTAATTCAGGTGGGACGTGGCGGGTTTATGATTTTAAGTAGCCGCACCAGAATGTATACACTCTGACTAGTCAGATCTAAAAGTAATCCCCATCTGGCTTGTGTACCCTTTGGCAAGTGGCCAAGTTCTTCGGGATTAATCCAACATAAAGTACAGTCTCTGTCACAATTAGTGACCATCTGAAGCCCGCTTCTGTCTATAGTCAACTATATAAGCGGCGAGGTCGGATCAGCGGCGGTTAATAGTCAGTCTTTACTTGCAGCGATGTCTTAGTTCGGTCTAAGACTTATCGCTTGATTTCTGAGTCGTCATTATTATTAATATTTATTGTCTGGTAGTGTTTTGCTGCTTTTGCTCTCGGTGTGATCGCAAGATACCCCTAACGGGCCAGGCCTAAGTAACGAGACAGAAAGTAGAAGAGATTGTCACCTTGGAGAGGAACAGAGGGGGCCAGGGGCTTACTTGTATTATCAGCCTGTCAGCATGGCAAGGCCGAGAGACTACGTTGGGTGCCGGTCACCTTTTATATGGATGTGGAGACAGGAAAAATTATCTAATTACTCAGGTTGCTGACGGCCGCCAGGAGCTGGCCTGAATAAGCCCGAATAGGGCGGCACTGAACCACCGCAGCCGCTTGGTGAGCACCAACGTACTTATGCTGATGTATGTTTTTGGGTTTTTTGGTCTATGCCCCATTGCCAGATGGTCCATTAGCGTAGTCCATTGCTCTCTCAACATGTTCAAGTTACTGACAGGTCAGGACCTTTGGGCGAACGATCGGGTAGATCAGTGTCTTGACGTTCTTTTGGCCAAGCGGTGCAACGCCCCCATCAATTACTCACTCCGTAAAATGGGTCTTGATCGGCAAGAGGCTGACGATCGCCTCGCAAACAGCGTAGGATCGTCATCAGCACTTGAAACAGCTGGTCACCCTGACTGGTGGCATGCTGACTTTAACCAACATTTTGGAATAAACACTTAGCTCTGTGCGTGGTGTTCCTGACAGCTTACCAGTTGGTAACTCCTGGCACCCATTCCCTGGTTCTCTTGCGTCTGCCGTCAAGTGTTGCAGGACGCGCACAGACTTCCAACTGTTCTCTATGACAAAGTACAGAGATCAAATATACGTCCCGTGCTCTTAAAATTCATCGGCCCTCTGCGTGCACAACATGCGGCGCATCAAAGAAGCATCACCTTGAAAAAAAGGCAGTCACAGGACACTGCTTCGGAACGCTGACCGTCGACTGAGATATCGCTGACTACTCTATCACAAATTGAAATTATCATACATTGATTGAAGTGAACACGCTCGTATATACATGCGCCGCATCAACACCAACTGTACACCCCATACACCAACCTCCAACACGTGGCGCGCGTACAACCCGGAGTAAAAACAGATCGAGCTCCTAAGCTTAAGCACCACGGCGCCCAAAAAAGTCTGCAGCCCGGAATTAAAGACGATCGACCTCCCCCAACAACCACTGCAAATGCCGATACGAGACGCGGCCCTGATCCTGGGCCTGCTTATGCCCGGCCTGGAAGGTCTCGGCCCACATCAGCCCGCGCTCGTAGTGCTGGACGCCCATCACGCCCTGCGGCCCGTCCAGCTCCCCGTACCCCTCCTGGGCATCGAAGACGCCCGCCCACTGGAGATCGGGCATGCGGATGTCGATGGGGGTGGCGGGGGCGGCCGCGAACCCCAGCTGGCCGTGCCAGGTCATGTTCTGGATGGCCAGGAGGGTGCCGTTGGTGATGATCAGGTAGTCCCAGTCACCGTTGGCGATGAGCACGCGGTTGGTGGCCTCGATGACGCGCGGCAGGACCCCCTCGGTCGGGTTGGGCGAGTCATCGCCTTGCTGCTCGGGCCCGGAGACGGCGTCCCCGCCCACGAAGACGGGGTCGCTGCTGCACAGCTCCCATTCGATGTCGTGGGGCGCGTGGAGGGCGCGTTTGACGTCCGCGCGGTTGAAGTAGGTGGTCGGCGCGGGCTCGTAGGCCAGATCCGTCGGGAAGCCCAGCACGTCCCACAGCAGGGGACACTCGTCGATGATGCGGTAGGGGTTGAAGCAAGGGTTCGGGGTGAAGGCTTCGTAGTAGATCGCGTTGTAGATGTCGCACTCCGAGTAGTTCATGTACTTGGGCGGTTGGATGCCGGCGGAAGGGAAGGTGAAGTATTCGTCGAAGTAGGCCTGGTAGCCGCATTCTTCGTAGGTGGTGGCTAGCGAGGTCATGAAGGTCTCGTTGAAGTTGAACAGCGAGGCGTGTTGCTGGACGAAGGGGTACGCGGGGAGTTCGGCTTGCACCCAGTCCCATTGGCCGATGCAGGCGTCGTACAGGAGGGCTCCTGTGCGCAGAGTATTGGTTGGTGCGAGGTGATGGAGGGGGTGAGTCGGCTTACCGCTGAGGTTGAAGTGGGTGGTATCGTTCTTGTCTAGCATCGCCGAGGAAATGTAGGGCACATACCGTCCCGCGTAGCTCTCGCCGCTCACGAAGATGCGGAAGTTCTTGATGCCATACAAATCCTGGAATCTAGTGAAGAACTCGAGAAAGTCCGCGGCCACTTCTGCTTCGTTGGCCGCGGTTGGTGTGCCCACCGAGTACCCAGTGCCTACCGGTTGGTCCACCCTGCGACTTCCATTAGCATCGAAGTGCGTTCGTTTGCTGGGGATGAGGCCCCAGGGGGCGACCTGCTCACTGCAGGCGGCGTTACTTAGCCCTCGATGTATTGGCGACAACGTACCATAACATGTTGGTCAGGTTCACCCATGAATACTGATTGATGACCGGAGCATATGTGCCCGGCTGCCACGTGAACCGTCCATTCTCCTGGAAGAAGGCCTGTTCGGAAGAGCACCCTGGCCCTCCATTGAGGTAGATGGTCAAATCGTCTGACGGTTCGCCAATCTTGGGCTGGAAGATGTAGAAGAGAGACCGGGATTCATTCTGGTGCGAGCTAATGGGAATCGAACCCGAGTACAGCTCACCCAAGTCGAAGTGGACGTCTGGTAAGCTTTCTACCAAGTGGGCTATGCGGATGCAATGGCACAGCACGTCAGTCGCGAATAAGGTTCATCTTGAGGTGGGTTAGGAATGCATACGCTTAGTCCGATCATTCCAGAATCGGTAGGTAGAATTATTGCTCGACTGAACTCTGGGGGCATGATTTCTCGCAGGACGGCTGGAAAACCGGTCGTAGGCTCGGGCTTTGTGCGCGGACGACCCAGGTTGAGATGCATGCACAGCGTTGAGCAACAGAAGGGCAGTAGCAACCCCTGTTACAGGGAAGGATGGCAGCAACATCTTCAATCAGCGATTTGCGAAAGGATTCCACTGGCTGACGGACATTATTCCCTTGTGACAACGCGGGCGGGGATCAGGCCGATCTTTTAGTCTTGTACCCAGCAAGCTCGACGACTCTGTGCCGAGTGTGATAGCTAGGGGGTAAGCGCGCCCACTCGGCTCGCCCACTCGGCTGGTTTGGTGGGAGATCAGATTGCGCAAGTTCAAATCTCGCGATGGCTTCAATTTCCTTAAGCAAGTGGGTACGGCTCCATGGGCCACTCTCTAGATGCCTTGTTGGATTGGCCAGACAGGCGGTGGATGGACATGCGGCGGTTTAGCAACATATCAAGGGGGGATCAGTCGCCGGCGTCCATGGTCAGCCGGTCGGCAATATAGAGTGGCTTGGACGTGGCTGCAGTCCCCAAGTGGAACTCGGTAGGATTACATCGGATTTAGTAGAATGCAGATCTAAACTCCGTGGCGTCGACTATTGGCCGCCGGATTCGGATTGCGCAGCTAAGAGATGTGAGCCGGTCAATAAGCGCAGATCATTGAACTCAAGGCAGACCTTACCCCAAATCCCCTGCACGAAGACCTTTTCTTTCGGTCATTGAGTGGCTGATGGGGTCTAAATATGTAGAAAAAGCCACCACCATCGTAAGATAAAGGCGTCTCACCGCATCTATCACGATGTGACAGCTTGTACTTGGTACCACGACACTCATAACCCCAGCCGTCAACTGCCATCAACGCAAACATCCCGCGCAATTAGGTTTTCAGGGTCATTAGACTTGCGTTTGTAATCGGCATCAAGTGGGGCAATATTTGACTAAAGAAGAAATAAACGGAGACGATTCGTCATCGTTTCCTACCGCACCAGCTCGCAAAGGGCTCAAGCTCCACTAGACCCTGCGAAAATGCGGTATAAAATCTACGCGATCGCCGCAGGGAACCCTCGGACTTTTGGAATTTCCTGCACCGCGGGAATTGTGTGCTCCGCTTATATAATTCCAACGCTGCCATCTGGCCAGACTTTCGACAGGGAAAGGATCAATTAAAAATTGGGGTAGCGCCTGGACCCAAGATCAGCCGCAGATTACCCGATGTAGGAAGCAAGCCTCCTGGTGCGGCAGATTTGGTCGGCAACCCGCTCAGGACTGCCCATGGGTTCGGACGATATCAATCATATCAATCATATCAATCAGCAAACCTCCGATCTCGGTGCTCTGAAATGGCTTTGAAATCTAGCTGCGGGGCGTGTATTCCTCCGAGAGGAAGATTATGTCTCCGGTGGTGTGGCTAGCGAGAGTATGAGCTACAACGCCTGTCGTACGAAAGTCTTTCGGGGGGTTTTCACATTTATTGAACAATTTTCGTTTGTCATTCTAAAATCTCGTGGTGGTCCTGCTTCCACATCAGTACGGGGAGGTCATGCCGTGCCGCTTAACATTTATGTGTGATGGCACTATAGCGCATAGACATGGATCCGTCGACGACAACATGCTCTAAGTCTCCGAACCATGGCCACCAACCTGTGGTCTCTTAGTGCCTGAAAGCTTTCCAATTTGAATTCTAGGGAATAAAAAAAAGAAATGAAAAAAAAGACAACTGAGTGATTAATCATCTATGCAAAGCAGTAAGTTAAACCCTATATGTCCAGTCCAGACCAACCGGAAAAGCCAGAATTCTCTCTTGTTCAGCCACTTCAACCTCACGCCGACCCTCCAGCACCCCCGGGCGACCCAATGCGCCCCCAAAACAG